CTGACAGATAAAGTGGAGTACAACCAGAAGCATTAGTGATATCAGGATTACAGTAACCACCATCAATGAAAAACCTCAATATATCCAAAGACCCTCCCTTTGCCGATATGTGTATTACGTTAAACCCTTTATCGTCCAGTATAGAAATGTTGCATTTTTTACTGTTGAGGTAACGAATGATGGGAAGGTTCTTAGAGAAAGCTGCAATAAGTAGTGGAGTACGTCCAAAAGAGTCGGTCATATCAAGAGATAATGGTGAATGGTCTATAATGTACTTGACTATACTCAATGATCCTTCTTCACAGGCTACATGAACTGGAGCTATTCCATTGTAATCTTTAATAGTGAGATCCAACTGATGCTCCTCCACTAGATGTTTGAGTATAGGAAGAGAACGACTTTTACATGATAAATGAAGAACTGTTGATCCATTTGAAGTTTTAGCTAATACGTCACACTGAGGAAGACTAGTGAGGTAGAGAACTATAGCAACATGTCCTTCCTGACATGCTATGTGAAGGAGTGTAGATTGAGTATCATTTCTAGGATCAGTGGCATTAATATCAAATGAATAATTGTTTAATAAATGCTTTAAACAATACAAACGGTTGAAATGCACAGCGGCAAAAGGTAATACACCATTCTTAAATGAGGCTACATTGATATGATACTCTTGTCTGAGCCATTCTAGCATATGAACATTTCCAAATGCCACTGCAGCTTCTGGTGATGAGGAGCTCCTGAATATTCTAGGATTAAGGTTGTATTGTTTTATTAATAATTTTAACAGATCAAGATTACCAGAGGCACATGCGTGTGTGACGCAAGTAAAGCCATTCTTATCTTCAGTAGTTGTATCACATTTAATTACATCAATTAGAAACGTCACTAGTTGTGATACACCACTAGCACAGGCATCATGAATTGGAAGAGCATCATTATCATCGGTAGAATGTAATAGACTAGTATATTGTGGATAATTATTAATAATATATTTAGTACATGAAAAGTGACCATTTAACATAGAATGATGAAACACATTCATGTTGCCTATTCCACCTACTCTATCCAAATCACATCCACAATCTTTTACTAAATACTCCAAGGCATCAATAGCACCAACTTCAGCTGCAAAATGAACTGTTTGCATACCGTCACTAGCTTTAACTTGAGGATCTAGTTTATATTTATTAACTAATAATTTAATTAATGATAGTTTAGTACTACGCACTGCTTGAAGTAATATAAATGATGTGAGACGCAATTGATGATTATTAATGAGGTATTGAACTAGTTTCATGTTACCACTCTTAGCACTATGATCTAATGCATTCCATTTACCATTATCTGTTATGTTAATGTCACTATCTTGTACTTCAATGAGGTATTGACTGAGATCAACATTACCATGCCAACATGAATATTGAAGAGGTGTTCTACCCTTATTACAGGTTATATTAATATCAATGTCACTAGTATTCATAATAAATTCTACTGCATTGATACTACCTGACATACAAGCTAATGCTAATGGTACTATACCTTTGTAGTCTGGTTGACTGGCAATCAAGCTATACTTAGATACAGTATAACTGAGTAGAGTAGGTGAACCTGATAAAGCAGCATAATGTACTGCAGACCGACCCTCATAATCTAATGAACTTGTATTAATACCATACTCCTCTAATACCTTCACTAATAATACACTACCACTAGTACATGCTAAATGAACCAATGATTGACCAGTAGCAGTAATAGAATTTATATTGAAATTATTAATAATGCTTGTCTTCTTGAGGAGTGTAGACAAAAGGCTCACTCTTTTATGCTGTTTAGTAAAATTTATATTAAGTGATATGTATTTATGCCAGTATTCCTTGTAATAGACATTAAATGTAGGAATTTGCATGAGTAAAGGTATATCACATGGTGCAGTGAGCTTGTTATACACTTCTGTAATGCAGTATTTATCAACCAATCCCTTACATAAGTAATGAAGAGAAGACCGACCACTATAATCAGCTTCTAGTAATACTTTATATCCAAAAATATTAACCATTTTCATAATGAAACCTGATGAAGCATACTGGCATGCTATATGAAGTGGTGTTCCACCAAAACGATCTCTTTTTTGAAATAATTCCCTTTTATGATTATTATAAAGATACACTAGAAGCTCTACACTATCATTCATAGCACAATAATCTACTATTCCACATCCGTTAAAATCTATGTCATCTTCTGAGAAAATACCAAACTGCTTAAGCTGATCAACTAATGCTACTTCTCCACTCTTACATGCTAATAATGATAAAGTCGATCCTTCTCTATTCACCTGAGACACGTTACACTTCTTCTTTAAAAACATAATCACGAGGTCAACGTGACCACCCAGTGCTGAGTAAAGCAATCCCGTGTTACCAGAGCTATCTGCTATGTCTGGATCAACGTGACATTCATTAACTAGATACTG